GTTGTTAGCATTATTAGCAAGTTACTAGCATGTTGCTAGCATGATTAGCAACAAAGTTTTTTCAGTAGGGAGTTGTTAAGCTTTGCTATAGCAATAGACAGCTTAAATACACCATAAGTCTTATTGTATAAAAGTTTTCACTCCCTCAATGAAAGTCTATGGGATTTTAGGTGGTTTTGATAGTCTGGTTTACGAAAACCGTAAGCCGGATCAATTAGAAAAGATATAGCAGCCCGAGTCAGACCAGTCTGAAGGTCTGACCCGAGTTTGGTGATTGTAGCTTTAAAGTCTAGGAGGAGATGCATTTTAAAATTTGGTCTCAGAAGAAGAAGAAGAAGAAGAAGAAAAAAAAGAAGAAGAAGTTTAATTCGGATTTCTTTTTCAAGCCAACTTAATAATGGAGAGTATATTAATGTCAATGAAGTGTCACTCACCCAAGCAGTTCTTCATCAACATAAATCCCCTCTCATAGCCAGGGAAACAGTCACACTGGAAACTGCCCAGAGTGTTCACACACGTGCCATGGCCACAAACATCAGGAGAGATCACGCACTCGTCAATATCTGTGAAAATTCACACACTCATGTAGAGAAACACATGAAATGCTTTATCATTTTCAACTGAATGTATGCACAGATACTCAAAGGGCAGCGCAAACCTTAATCTGAAAAGAATGAAACAATGGATTTATTCAAATAAAAGAGTTTATAATATTTGATACCAGAATGCAACTCAGTGGTCTGTGACAGCACCATTATCATTGGTTAACGTCGTCATTATTTCTCTAGTCATTCTATACTGATGGAAAGGATTCGCTATTTATATCTTCACAGACAATCAGAATCACCTGTGCAGTTTTGCTCATTGGCATCCAGTGCAAAGCCACTGTCACAACGACATCTGAAGCTTCCAATGGTGTTTCGACATTTTCCATGAATACAGATGCTTTGGAAAACTTTACACTCATTGATATCTGACAAAGAGAGGATTAGATAAATGTCATTAATGAAAAATACAGTATGAACTTTATAAGAGCAGACAGTGATAACAAATAACAGTGAAATCAAAATACTCCAGAGCAGCAGTATTTATTTGACCTTTATAGACAGCTCTGCCAGTGAGCATGTCCCCTTTGTTGGCAAAGCCTGGTCCTCTCGGGCACAGAGCATCAAACGGGCTTGTGCCAGGCTCAGGGCACAATTCACAATCTTTGCCCCAGGCCAAACCCACCGTACAGCAACACATGTCCATGCGGAAGCGTCCTGGTACCGGCTGCATACACACATCTTCATCGTAGGTGAGAAAACAGGCCTCTGAACGAACATCTGGGAAAAACAGCCAATGAAAGCAAATTTCTTTAGTGCTCAGCCTCATTCCTTTTTAACATTAACATGTTTAACATGTTTACTGCAGCAAAAGAGCTTCAGCAGCGCTGATATCAAAATAAAGTTAGTGTTTATACTACAGTATACTGGGAATGGTTATACCTCACAAGATCAGTATGATTTCCAAAGAGCCAGATCAAAAAACATGCTTCAGCACATTTAAGCCAAAAAAGTGCTCACACAAATGAACTGACAAATCATAAGGACTTCAAACACACACAACAATCATTAACCACTCGAAAGGAAACATCTCAGGTTACGAATGTAAGTCTTTTCCCCGAGAAGGGAACAAGACGTTGCACCACCTTGCCATACCTCATGCCATGCCTGCCTTTGGACATTTAAAACCGGGTGTCGTGTGTTGTCTTCTTGCTTTATATGACATAAATTATACAGAGAGATGACTGCCGTGGTAACTCACTTTTTTGTTTACTTGAAACTCTGTCTTCTTTTCCACAACAACACGACATACAAGGGAATAAACTAGAGTGCCCTCTAGTGCACTGCAAACTGTCAGACTCTGTTCCATGTGTTGTGTGTGTCCTGCTCCCCATGTGCCTTCCCATGCCCTTATTTGATTAGTTTCCTGTTCCTCCCCTGATTAGTTTAGTTCATTTGTCCCAGGTGTTCCCCATGATGTGTCATTGCTCCCAGGTGTGTCTCGTGATCCCCTCCTCCTGTGTGTATTTAAAGTGTTCCCAGTCCCTACTTCTCGGTCCGCTGTTGTACGTCTTCCGGTGAAGGTCTTCCTGTGTTCGTCTCCCTTGGTTCCAATAAAGTCCTGTTAAAAGCATTCTGCAGCGTCTCCTCGTCCCTCGTGTGTGACATCGTGACACAAACATTGAGTGCATACATCACATTTCCTCTCCACAGTGTTGTTCTCACTTCAGTAACAATGTTACATACACATCATGAACAAAAAAGTGCATATCTTCTCAGCTTTTTTTACATATATACATATAGCATGGTACAATTATACACCTGTGTAATACAATAAAAACAGACAACTGTGATTAAACACTATAATAATTAAATGAACTGTTAATATGTATAACAGTGTGTAACTGTAACATGCATAACAGAAATGACTTGTACCACCAAGGTGAACCTTAAAGGCTTACCCTTAAAACTGAACCTTAAAACCTTGCCAGGAGCTTAATGGTACATTGATTGAGATTGGATCGAGACTCGGAAATTATGTTTCTTCTGACATACTGTAGGATGTTCACAAAAATCTATCAAATTTGACTAAGCCATTCGTTGGGTGAAAAGGTGCAGAATGTGTATGTGCCACTCCATTATCCTTGAGAAATGTTTGGAACTCATCTGAGGAGAACAGAGACACTTCTGGGAGTCCACGATGACTAAAAAAATCCTCTTAGCATCTGAATAGACGTTGATTCCATTACACACACCTTGGGCTGTCTGGAGTGAGCATCCACTACTACCAAGTACATGTGTCCTTCAAAAGTCCACATGAATGCATTGCCAAGGTGACTCTGGCCTTTTCCAAGGGCCTTCATCCTTACGACACCCAGATCTCCAGTGTGCAGCTCTGTCAGTACCCTGGATCTCAGCTTACGAGGGATGAGACAACCTTGTTGAGCAGTCAACTCATCTTTCTTGTTCAAGTATGGGGCAAGCACATTGTTTGAATCTGTGATTTGTGGAAAATGTCCAGTTGCCACAATCTCCATTACTTGTGAGATAGTGGGGTCAAGTCAAGTCACCTTTATTTATATAGCGCTTTTAACAATACAGATTGTGTCAAAGCAACTGTGCAGCATTAATTAGGAAAATATTGTGTCAATAATGCAAAATCAAAATAGTAAACACTCAATTTTCAGTTAAAGGCAGTTCATCATTGAATTCAGTGATGTCATCATCCAGCTCAGTTCAGTTTAAATAGTCTCTGTGCAATCAAGTCCACGATATCGCTGGAAATGAAGTGTCCCCAACTAAGCAAGCCAGAGGCGACAGCGGCAAGGAACCAAAACTCCATCGGTGACAGAATGGAGAAAAAACCTTGGGAGAAACCAGGCTCAGACTTCGCTTCCTTACAAACATCTGAACACAACACCGGCAAGGCATCATGGTGTTTTACTTGGAGCAACTCCACAGTGTCATCTTAACTTGAGGTGCAGTTGGTAGAGGTAGTCGTGATAGCCCATCTGCATTACAGTGGTGTGCACCCTCTCTATACTGGATATTGTAATCATAGGCTGCCAACATCAAAGCCCAGTGCTGCATCTGAGTCGCAATGTAAACTTGTGCCCATACAGATATTGGTAAAAATTTCTGAGTGGCTCTGTTTCAATTCGAGCATAGTTTTGCTCTACTCTGCTCAATGATGAGGCAAAGGCTATTGGTTTTTCTTGCCCATTGTAGCGTTTGGGCCAATCAGACACACAATTATTTGTTATATTCAACAAATAATCCCTAACACTCCTCACTCAACCAACAAGCCATCTATGAGGGTCTATGGACCCTTCCCCCGAAATGAAACTAACACCTCAAAAAGGCAGAACAGGCCTCTGGTTCCATGGCAACCAAAGACAACTCATCTGATAACACTGGTTTTGCATCAGCACCCAATCCAGTTACATATGCAAAATACCATGCTCGAAGACAAAGAGTCGTACATTTTCTCTCCAAATGTTCAAGACACCATTGGCTCTTTGATCCCCCAGAGGTGTGACCTCCACAGAAGTTAAAAGGCCTCACATCAGTGTCACGCCTCTCAGTCTCTTGTCTCTCTCTCTCTCATCTCTCATTCACCTTCCCGTCTTCCAGGACCGGTGCAGTCGTGCCTGGCATGCCTCGACACTTTCCATCTGGGAGGAAACTCTCCCAATCACCACTGAGTCAGAAGAACATCTTTGGAGTTCATCACTCTTCAATCCTCTTTGCCAATATGTTATATCTTCTTGCTTTATATAACATGAATGATAAGCAGAGATGATTGCTGTGTTAACTCACTTTATTTGTTTCCTGGAAACTCTCTCTTCTTTTTCACAACAACACAAGGCCTTAGAATACTGGTGCAGTGGTCTTCCCATAGGACAGGGGTCTGCAACCTTTGCCACCAAAAGAGCCATTTTGGCCCTTCTCCCACCAAATAAAATTTGCCTGGAGCCGCAAAATATATTTGACCTTTAAATGAATAAAACACATTTTGTTGTTTTAATAAAATTGATGCAGATGTAAGGTAGTTGCCTAGTTGCACCACTAGGTGTGACTTCTGTTGTATTTGAATGTTCGTAATTTATACCTTTTTGTCCCTGGCAAGAGTGTTTGCCTGGCAATGGTAGAGTGGCGTCACGGTGTTGCGCGCTCTGCTTTAGTTAGACTTTCGCTTTAACCTGTGAACTCTTCTTTTGGCTTTTCCCTGAATTGAAATGAATGATTACTTTGTCAAGTTTTGTGTCAACATTAAATCTCGGTTCCTGTTCATTTCACAATAAAGAACCCGTGGTTGATGCCTCATTATTTCCACGGTACTCTAAAAGAATAAAAAAGAAAAGAAAAGCAGAATCCAGAAGAGGCATGAGAAAATAGATCATGGACCAAAGACATCATAGTTATGGGTATAAGTCTTTATCAGCCATGTCAGCCAGTTCAATTTCAAGATCGGGTTGCTTACTCCTGTGAATGCAGACATATTTAGTGTCCAGGGGAGTGACAGGGAAGAATAATGTGCTTTTTTCTTGTGCATTTTGCATTTTGCTGATTGCGCCGTGTAAATACTCACAATTTATGTGATTATGTTCTTCTTTGATCTTTTTCAGGAAGGGAAAATGAGAGAGCGTGACTCTGTATATCTCTGGCGACCACTGTCATCTTGCACTCAAATGCCAAAACATCCTCCAGCATCTGCACGGCTGTCCCTGGAGACTTGTGCTGTCATATCCACCATGAAGTGCAACTTTTCTAACCAATTGGCATCTTCCAGGTCGGATAGGTGAGGCCTTTGCTTTCTAGGAAGGTTTTCACATGTTCCAGACAAGCAACAAACCGTTTCAGCACCTCTCCTCTGGACAGCCACCGGACTTTGTTATGCAGCAAAAGATCAGAATATGTGCTGTCAACTTCATCTAACAGTGAACAGAACTGTCGGGGATTTAACCCTTTTGCCATTATTTTGTTCACTATCTAGATAACAAGGTATCCATCACTTCCATACATTCGGGGGGAAATGTTTGAGCACACAGTGCTTCTTGGTGCAAAATGCAGTGAAATGTACGCAGCTTTCAACCCAGTGATTTCTGAAGTAAAGTCACAAACCCCTTCTGTGCTCCTCTCATGCTTGGTGCACCATCAGTCGCCACGGACACCAGGTGGGTGGTGTTTATTTCTTTGGCTTTCAAACAATTCAGCACAGCCTCACAGATGTCCTCCCCTCGCGTTTGGCCTTTTAGTGGTATCAACTCGATGACTTCTTCCTGCGGCCCATCGGAATTCACATACCTACATAACAGCACTGTCTGCTCGATGTCGCTAACATCACCTGACTCATCACAGGCGATTGAGTATGCTGGAGCTGAATTGATGTCCTTAATTTGCTGGTTGGTGATGTTTGCTGCTATTTTAATGGCCCTGTCCTTGACGGTTTTCGCAGAGAGAGGCACATCTCTAATTATCTGAACAATTTCACGTTTATTTTTGAAGTCAGAGAATAGATGCTCTGATATTTTAATGAATGATTCTTTCATATATTCTCTGTCTTTGAACGCCTTTCCGCGAATCTCCTGAGTTGCCACAAAACTAGCAACTGTTGTTGAGTTTGAAGACTTTATCCACTGGGTGAAGTTATATTTGCTCTGCTCAGCTTTCTGCAGCAGTTCTTAAATGGCTCTCTGTTCATCTCCAGCTGGGTATGTCTCAGCAAATGCTGTGTTTTTTTTTGTTGTTGTTGTTGTTAGCCAATTTCTCACCACATA